GGAGCAATCTGTGGAGCTGGAAGCTGAGAACTGGCGACTTTGTAGTAGAACTTTAGTACGCAGAGTATCTGGGGAGCTGGACGGTGAGACCTGGCGACTTTGTAGTGCAGCTTTAAAGTATCTGGGGAGCTGGAAGAGGAGTACTGGCGACTTTGTAGTGCAATTGTAGTACGCGGAGTAGCTGGGGAGCTGGAAGATGAGAACTGGCGACTTCGTAGTAAAACTTTAGATGCGGAGGACCTGGGGAGCAGAGACCCAAACAGACAGGGGCTCATACACACACATCACACACAGAGACCCACGCACTGCCTCAACTTACTCGGACACACACACAGACAGAGACTCATACACACACAGACATAGATACACACACACACACAGAGACCCACACACTGCCTCAACTCACTCGACTTAACACTTCCCACTGAACACTTAACAGATAACTCACACTCTGACTTCCTACGTGATGAAAAATGCTTTCGGGCCACTTGTCGTCTAGTTTGGCTAGCATGGCATTCGTTTGATCAGCCGACAGGTCGGACCCGAATCGTCTGGAGTGGGTCTGGGGTTTCTCACCAATCCCTAGGTCCGTTTTGCGGGACCAAGGGCTGTTTGGAGCGCAAGGTCAGGGCTCTCATCAAATGAACCTCCTTTTCGCTGAAAATCCCCCATCGCCCCATCATACCTATTTCACTTCTCGACAAAAAATTCAGTTCATCAGTAACAAGGGCATCGCTACGAACGTAACAAGGGCATTACTACTAGTAGCTTCTGTGTCATTTAGAGGATTCTTCCCAGCTGGAGGTCCTATTCTCGGGCGGCTAGAAACCACTCGGTTCTTTCCCTCGGGGACCGACCACCCAGGGGCCGTCTGCCTCGGGTGTGTCAAGAGATTCGAACGCACCGAACACCGGCGGAGGTGGAACTTCAAAAAGGCCCGCTGCGAACCAAAGCCCGGCTGTGAGCCTTGCCAGACGAGCGGGCGCGCGCGGCGAGCCTCCGGCCGCGTGCGAGCCATCGCCGTGGTGTCGCGAGCCATCGCTGCCATGTTCGAGCCGCGCGAGCTGAGGGGTGGGGTGTGTTTCGATGAATTCATCGGAGGTTCAAAAGGGCTTTCGGCCAATCAGAACTCGTTGCATTGAGGTTTCAGGGATAAGGCCTCGATTCAACCTTCGCCCAAGTCAGCAACTATCAGGAGCCACATGGCGCGAGTCAGGAACCCAAACTCCATAATTCAGGAGCAAGGAGAGGAGCGATTCAGATGCCAAACTCCCTGATTCAGAAACCAAACGTGGCTGGTTCAGAAACCAAGAGCTGCAAACACCAACGAACACCTAGCCACAAACCGCGATATAGAAGCCAACATGGGGCACTTCTGATACCAAGAACCTGGACCCCTGCTTATGCAGGTTGTTGATCTTACGGATATGACACCATGTATTGGATGATTCTTGAGAATGGCCCACAACACCACATTTCACCCAATTTCACCAATCTAATTGTGATATTGGTGTTCTTTTTTCAGCCATGCTGCCATCGAACCACCCCGTCGTCGTCGTGCCGATCTGACGCCGCGGAGCGGGAGCAGTCGTTCGCAAGCCCCAGACCCGGGTCGGTTCCCACACGGGCTCCGTTCCGATGGCATGGGATGCACGGAACGTTCCGAACTGCCCCAGTTTTCAGGCCTTGTCAGATTGAACTGCATGTTACTTCACCTTCAACTACCGTGCAGTCCCCCACGTCACCCCACGTCCTGCCCGGGCTGTCCGACATGGTGCTGGCCTTCAGACGTGATCCAAGGGGCTTTCCATGTGGGAAATCTCAGTGGGTCCAAAATGACACGTGGAACCGGTCGACTCGGTCGACACTTCTTCCAGGAATATTTCGTTCTTGGAACTCATCTCGAATGGGGAGTGGGTGAAAAGAAAGAGTAAAACAGTGCCACATAACTCTAAGACGCAGTGTGTGCAAGGCAGTGTGTGTATGTGTAACAGGAAACGACGAAAAACCATCCCCACACTTTTGAGGGATGCACGGGCGTGCACCTCCGCAATCTTTGACTTGTTCATGCCATTGTCGGCTGAACCATACACTCCTTGAAAGAATCATGGATGCGGAGGAAAACCGGTGCTTGACAGATGGTCACGGTCACTTGACATCAAAAACTTGAAAACAGTGTATCTCAAAGAAAAAGAACGCCCGCAGCTGTTGTCGTCCGCCGCAGAAGGGTCGTCGTTGGTCGTGCTTCATCACGGCCTCTTCGCCTCTTGGAGCGCTTCTGAGGACTACAAGTATCGCTTTGGAGATCGGTCACTGCATAAGAGCTGTCGCTTATCCGCGCAGAAACAGCCCACCAGCCACCTGGCGCGAACTGTTTTTGAGTCAAGAACTATATAGTGAAAGTATGTGGAAGTGTTCCCAATCCGAAAGAAGTCCTTTTTTTGGCAGGGGGATGGCGTGCCTCTTGCACTGTTTGTTCTTTCATCGAGTTGGTGCTTCCCTTTTTGGCGTGGCGACGATTGTCACTCCGTGTTGGTGAGCAACTCAGATTTAATTGTAGCACAACAAGGTCAGTCCACTCAAACAAGGACCGTCGGACACTCCAAATTTCGTAGCTGTAGCTACTCACGAGAATCACGACTCATTTGAGCCCTCCAGTATTGCTAACTCCCCATCATGGCCTCTTCAGGCTTCATGCCGATGATCCCAAATATGCGCGTGAATTTCGTTGTGTCCACCGATGATCCAACAGCACGTTTTTGGGTTCATCGATGTCTATATTTTTCCTTATTGTTCAGTGGCCAGTAGTGAACGAAAAAGAACCATGAAGCTTCGAGGCAAGGTATGAGGATATCGTGATATCAAGATTAGGTGTTTGTCACATTGACATGGGTACCTGAAGAAGTGTTTTTCGAAGGAACCTCCAGCGTGACTTCCGAACCTTCATCTATGATTCACAGATACCGAAGGGTGGCTTTAGGGCAGCGATTGGTTTGCCATCGTGACATCATGGTGGGTACCTCTTTCATTGCCTTAAAGTTGCCAGGGAACCACCATCGAATATACACTCCCGAAAACTAACATGGACCCTGAGTACACCACTGGTTGGTAGAGGAAAACAATCTTCCAGGATACCATTGTCAGGGTCTAGTTTTTGGGCATGTACTCAGTATACGACTCCAATCCGAGATCATCCGAATTCCAATCGAGACATTCCTGTTTGCCAACGATCTTTTCATGGAGGGGGAAGTGCCACACGGCAGGTGATGCTGAATGCCTTTGGAACTATAAGAAGGCACATTTGACGTGACCCGCTTATACGGGGTAGTAGCGCGAGTAGGTGCAGCAGTGTAGCATGTTGGGGGCAGGGTTGCACTGTTATTGGTATTGGAAGGGATCCCTTCGCCAAAATCCTTTGCGGCGATGGCGCGGGGTCCCCAGCTTTCTTGATTTTCAACACGGATGACATCAAGGGCAGAAGATCAGTAGACTTTTGAGGATCTCAAGGAATCTGAGCTACAACCCCAAACACCCAAGCGGATGGTGACCCAAACGTCCAAAATGACCACCCAACCTGCTCTGCCGTTTGTTGGGACGGTTTTCGACGGTTTTCGACCATCGCCCAAGCTCCTCGGCGACCGGATCTGGGGGGGGTGTTTCCCAAGCGGTGGGAGCGATCCCCCACCGCAGAGCCGCAGGGCTTCAGCCTCCGGTGAAACAGATCTGGCAGCCACGAAGAGGTTGATCTGGTCTGATGTGTTTCACACCAGATCTTGAGGTCCGGTCCTATCTGACCGGTCTGACTGACAACCGGTCCCCCTTGTGTTTTTTTGGGTCCTGTCGGGCGACAGGGCACCCATGGGTTCGTTTGGTGCCACGGGGCGTGCGCGCGGTGGACGTCTGAGGAGACGTCTTCTGTCCGAACCTTCCAGTGGTTGGTCTGCCTGGCCAACAGGTCACCAATTGAAACTCTGGGCGTTAGGGCCTTTCCCAACCCTCCAAGGGACGGAAGGTGCTGCTATAGATGTGTTCTTTCAGGGTTACCTTGTTCCAGAGCTCTTTGCTTGCGAGCGACCGGTGACTCCCAGCGACCGAACGTTCACGCAGAACGAAACCGAAACAAACTCCTTCTTGGATCATAGGGGTTCCGGAAATGACGAGTTTCCCGCCTTCTTTTTCGGATCAATGTGGGAATGGCTTCAAGTACTTGAGGTGTTCTCTCATTTTTTTTCGGATGACGATCCACCAAACTCCTTTGCACCTCTTGTGCACCTCTTTTAAACCTCTTTGGCACCACTGGCCGCTTTCCCGACGTGGCGCAAAAAAAAAAAACGCGCACAGCATGTCAGGCCCGGTGTCATCAGCCCCTCTACTGCGCGCGGCGCTGCAAGCCGGGCAAAGACTGGACATTGGACCAGCGCCTCGCCACCGGAACCGCTGGCCACCCGGTCCAGTGGTGTGAACGAGGGATGTCAGGGACATCCAATTGCAATTAGTTTTGGATGGGAGCACGTGACAGCTAGCTAGGATGGAGTTCCTTTTAAAAGCCGTTGGCGGATGGTTCAGGTAGACTTTCTTCTGGCATTTGTTTGAGAAGGACTGAGAAAATGGGAGGAACGACCGAAGAGACAGGCATACCAGGGAGAGCGCTCACACAGCACTGCACGTCAAAGCCAAGACAGCTTCGGAGCGTCCAAAACCCCACCGAATTGCCGTTTTTGGTGCCTTTTCTTCGTCCCCGGCCTTCCAATTTAGAGTGATTGGGGATGGGCCAGATATATATAGGTGTATAGGTGTATATAGGTGTAGGGTTGAAATGACACTAAGAGTTAGACATCCCCTGGAACTCTATTCTGCTCACTTTTTGTTGACCCATTTAATCACTCAGTCAGCATACCCTGCGCAGACAATCAGTTCACAGTCAGTTGATCATGACTCATGACCCCAGACAATCTACACAACTCCCCAGCCGGTTCTTTTTTCGTGTTGAGGGTCTCAAGAGAGGAAGAAACCGGGTCAAGACCCCCCCAAAAGAAATTAAGCCTATATAGTGGCTGGGAGGGTAGTTCGTGAGCTATCTTCCTGAGAGCTTGTCAACCAAGAATTGCAGTGGTTGGGAGCAACCTCACGAAGATTCGCATCCACAGAAAACTCTTTTGCCTCATGTGTTGCGATGACACCCGATGTGAGCGTCATCTCTTCCAACCAAAACCATCCACACCCAGGTGCTGCAAGCTTCGGACGCCCCTCAGCCATGCCAACATGATCCCGGGTGCCGGGTGGTGATGTGCTTGAGGTGTGAGGCCCATAGAATCCATTGGGACTGGTGTCCGTTCTGACCTGTAACAGGACCTGTAAACAAGAACCAGCTGCTTCCAAGGGGTCACCAATGGACAACCCTACCCTACTTATAGGCCTCCATTGGGCACCCATTGGAAGTGCTAAGAAGATATCACGATTTGAGAGATGGATGTCGGCCCACAAAACGGGTTCCCCGAACATCATCCCACCCCTCCTCAAGAAAAAAACGGCCATCAAGCCACCGGTCGGGCGATGTAAATGTTCCATGTAGGCGTTCTTTTCAATGTTGGATTCCTGGGGAGAGGAGCAGAGGAGGAACGTGCTTCTGGGCTTTTGCGGGGGTAGGAACCCGAGTTCCTCGGTCGGCCGGGTCCGCCGGGAACGCAGCATAAAATCGGAAAAACCGAGCGCGGAGCGGACATCCGCAAGTTCTCTTTGGAGTGCAGGTCTTGTTCTCTTTGGACAAAAACCGCTTTTTGGTGCACTTTGGGCCCACTTTCTACATCAAAAGTGCATACTGTGGGCTTGTTGTTCTTCGTGCAGACGGCCTGGGCCCTCCATGATGGGTCGCTTCCAACCGCTGTTGGTCGCTTTACTTCGTCGGCGCGTGGCCGACGAAACGAACGCGACCGACCACGAGGGAGCGCGCCCGGCAGTTGTGGCAGTTGTAGGTTAAAACTGCCAGGTTCCGAAGGAGCACTTTGGGATGAGATGTTTTCACTTGAGTTTGATATGATTCCCCAAAGAATCCGGGCCCTTAAACACGTTTTGAGGTCCCAGACCACAGCCATGGAGGGTCCGACTCCTGCCATGGAGAGCCCAAGGATTGTCATAGGCTATAGGGTTGAACTCATTCTGGCTCTGGGTTCTTGTGTTTACTTGGCTTCGTCAGGACACCCACCCATTCGTCACACAACGACCTTCTCGCACCGGGGGATTGTGGTCACTTGACGCGGCAGCTGCGGCAGCTGCGGCCTGAGCGGGAGTTCCCCACCGGGCCGCAGGGGCCCCGACCGGAGGTTTCTCGAAGGGGGGGACGGTCGGTGACCTCCGCGTCTGAGGAAAGAGGTGACCGCGGCGAAGGTGAAAGAACCGAAGGGACTCTGGGCGTCCGAAGGGACTCGTCGTGGCGCCAGGTGGCCGGTTCGGTGGGAGAACGGAGAGAGATCGGTGACCGGTGGCCGACTTCTGAAGCAGAATCGATTCGACGTGACCCTGGACCCGTACCTTGGGGCCATACCGTCCGGACCGACACGAATCAATCCCGAAGCCAAGCTGAAGCGGAACCGGGAAAGGCCTGTGAACGGAGCATCTGGGCAAACGGTTTTCAGAACATGTTTGGAGATCAACCCAAACGCTAATGGACCCTCAATAAGGGAGCGATTGGACGCGGCTTGTCTATCAACTTGGGCACCTGTGTTTTCTGGAGTGTTTTCGGTGCTTGTGCACAGCTTTTCGGAAGGACTCCGGACTTACCCGGCATCGGACTGAGAGCAGTTGGCCGCGCTCTGAGGAGATTTTACTCTTACAGACGAGGAGATGGAGGAGATTGATTCAGCTGTTGATGATGCTGGATGCAATTATATACCAGGGGTCACAAAGGGGTGGTTTTTAGTCCCTAAGTGAGTGGAAGATGGGCACCCCAAACCTCCATTAAGCACCCCTTTGTGACTGCTGGTAGCAGGGTGTAACCAGCGCATTTTTTTGGATGAAGGCCCAAGATGCTGGAGAGTAAACGTGAGTAACGACCTGCATATCGGGACATGTTGGAGCTCTTTTTCACAACCAGAACTGCTTGTAGTTGGAACTGGGTTCCCAGGCAGGTCCTGGACCTGGTGGTCCTCAGAAATTCCAGGTCTTTACCAAGCTCCTCCTTGATGAAGGTGTTTTGCCCAAGCTCATCCCGAAACTCGGGGCATCCGTAGCACCACGACCTAAGGAAGTGCTGGCAGATCTTGTGGCAGAGGAAGGTGCTACGGAGGGTTTCTCGGATGGAAACCATCGTCGGCTCCCCTAAAGTTGGTCGGTGAAACCAGTCAGTTGGCCGGTTACCGTGGGTTAAACATGTTGAAACCATTCGGTGAAGAGGAAGATAAATCCTGCTGGAGACAGTGCAGATGTCTTTGGGGACCTAACACGGCCTGCTGAAAGACGAACACCCCACAACACCCCACATGTAACGAATCTGGTAAAATCTTGCGGACCTGATTCCCTTTTTGGGGATCCAGTCGTACCCTCTCAGCTCATTTGGATACACTAGTGTTACATGCAGGTGCCAGACCGGGTGCAGTCGGACCTCTTCACCGGGGCGGGAATTCGGATCCTAAGAACGCAGTCGAATCGGGGTGGTTCCAAACTTCCAATACTTGGGGGTGAAAAGGGCGGAACCTCAGCCTGAAGCGTTGGGTGCTGTTGGACTTCAGGTACCCGGTGACTGGACCGGACCTGGTTGGAAAAGAGGTGGAAATGGAGAGGAGATACCGGATAGTACTGTAGGGGCTGAAGAGACCCCGAACGTATGGCAAGCTGGTGGATGATCCTGAAGCAACGTATGTCTGAACAGTTTAAAGGAAATGGTCTACCCTGACCCAGACACGACATCCATGGGACTGCCATATATAATTGACCCCGACTTCAACCACCCCTACGTGTTTTTGGGCCGTCCTATGACAGTCCGGTCGTCTCTACCCGGATGGACTTGGCACTTCCGATTTTCACCACCTCGCAGCTCCGGACACCATCGTGGCGGACCGCGGCGCTTCGTGGCGCGCTGGCAAACCCTTTCGGGAAAACACGCGTTCTTTCGGGGGAAAACACGCACCGTTCTTTTTCTCCGAAGAAAAGACAGGGAAGCACAAGCCTATTTGGAATAGGGCACCCCTGGTCAACCCTTATCAAATGGGAACCTTTCTCCTTCCTTTTTCTCTTTTGAATCCTTTGGAATCCTTTGATCTCAGGGCCCCACGCTTGACGGGGCCTGACCCCGGGCGACCGGATCCGGACGGACAACGGCGAGAATGCCCAAACAGGGAATCCAAATAGCGGGGGTGGTGACCGGGTTGAAAAGGGGTTCATGTACCAGGACCCTCTTATAAGGGGTGCCCATTGGAAGCCTATAGCTAGTGTGGGGTAGTCCATTGGACAACCCTTGGAGGGTTCATGTATAGGCATAGATTGAACATCAACATGGAGTGTGACCTGGCGACCTGGTGACCGGGCCATTTGTCTCTTTCTTCGATGAAGATCTGACCCCAGACCGAACTGGATTTTAAAAGAAACAAACACATCACATCTCTCTTGGATGGAAGAAACATCCGGCTTCAGTCCAAAACGTCCAGAGACAGTTTGCAAGCTCGGGTGTCGTCGTCGTCGGCGGCGGCGGCGGCGTCGGCGTCGGCGTCGGCGTCGGGGGTGGTGGTGGTGGTGGTGGTGGTGGTGGTGTGAAGGTTTGACACCATGGTCCTCCCTCTTTAGTGCAACCATCCTTTAACGCGTGTTTCTAAGTAAGCTTGGCCTTGAAGGGGCTTCACTCGGACTTGAGCATGTTCGCATGGCCGCGGATCGACGGACATCCGCTTTTGGCCGATCGTGCACTTCGTTCGCACGATCGAGAAGTGTACCAAAGACCACAACTCGCCACAACAACGTGGCTCAAGATTCACGCGAAAAGAGCGCGTGGCCGCGGGGTGGAGGGCGATTCGAACATTCGCGTTCGAGCAATCGCGTTCATCGAGTCAGGTCGTTTTTCATGAACAGTTCACGAGAGCTTTAACTTTCATATGTAGCGGAGCCCTGAAAAGGGCATCCGATCTAGTTCACAACATTTGCATCTAGGACCATTTCACGTAGTTTCCAGTTTGATGGCCGATGCATCTGGAACTGAACGATCAGCTCGCCGAGAACGATCCAGAGACCGCTCCCAGACTCGAGGAGAAGAAGCTCCAGAATCTCGGTTGGGGCATGAGGGAAGGCAATCTGATAGATTCCAACGACTGGAAACCCAAGTCGAGCAGTTGACTCAGACTCTTTCGGCTTTAGGTCCAGTGTTGCAGCAAGTCCTTCATACACAACAAGCTCAGCAGTCGACTTCGAACATGCCTCAAAGGCCAGATCCACCTGCTGTAGCTCTTAGCTCCTCCTTCACCTTTCAACCCAGGTTCTGTTCATCAAACGCCCGGGCAAGCAAGCGAATCGAACCCACTGCCCAGTCAGACCAACCATCCAAATGTGTTAGACCCGAATCGAGTTGATGTGTCAGGAACTCAGCCGTCCGATCCATGGCAGGCAAATGGGGATTCCTGATCAACCATTCCCAACTAGCATGCCTCAGAGTCCAGACCGTCTGCAGAATCCATTCGAGGCTGCGCAACCTAGTATGTATACCCAAATGCCATGTCCTCCCGGATCATGTCCGCGTGGTTTGAGCCAAATCCCAATGAGTCAAACAAGTTTGTTCCCAGGCATGCCATCGAATCCCGCATCGGTCGGACAGCCGCCTATCCAGATCGATACACCTCACGGTTCGCATCGTGAAACGGGGGAAGACAATCCATTCAAGCGTTCGGAACGATGGATGCCGAACATGCCACTTCCGACTTTCGACGAATGGAAAACGAGGCCATTGGAGATCACTGGATTCCTTTCATGGTTGACTTCATTGGCCAGTTGGACAGGCCTAGGCTCAAACACGTATCCCTCAGAGATCATGATGTGTATCAAGGAGACTGAACCTTTGGGGTGGCATCGACTTTCGCCTAGTCAGGTGACTCGTTCAGTTCGATTGTTATCCATACTGAAAACCTGCTTCAGTAACCATGCCAGAGCGAGTCTAGTGATTCGTGATTATGAAGAGTCAAAGGGTTTTGTCCGATGTTGTGGATTCAAATGTCTTCGACTGATCGCCCGTGAATTCTCGGTCAAAAGAAGAACAGAGCTCCTTTTCTTTCGTACACAATTGGCAAACAGCAGCATTTCGGCACCGACAATTCCCGAAGTCATCCGGAAGATCCAGTCAGAATTGTTCCAGTACGAACGTGTCGCACAGCTGGTAGATCCGAGTGTCAACATCAAAGGCCTAGAGTTCGTCGAAGCCGACAAAGTGCTAGTTTTGTTGAGAGCTCTTCCACAGCCGTGTCGACAGTGGATTGTGTTGAATTCACCGGATGAATCGTTCGCCTCGTATGTTGATTGCGCCCTACGATATGAAGCACAACAACGCATTTGGTCCGATGTTGGAGGTAAGCCAATTGCTGCACTTCAGAACACACTAGGAAAAGGGGACAAAGGGAAGAAGGGCGATGGAAAGGGCAAAGGATCCAAGGGAGGCAACGACAAAGGAAAGGAAGGAAAAGGTGTTGACCCTAGAGGTAAAGGAAAAGGAACATCCGAAGAGACTCGAACTTGCTTCACATGCAATCAACGAGGCCACCTTTCGTCTGATTGTCCACATCGTGCCAAAGGAGACAATTAAGGAAAGGGTTCCAAAGGAAGCAAAGGCGCAGAGAAAGGAGGCAAAGGAGAGAAAGGCAAGAAAGGAGATTCGAAAGGTGGCAAACCAAAGGAAAGAGAGTAACTGAGTTTTCTTCGTTCCAACCCGAATCCGAAGCCGGTAGTGAGTGGTCCGAGCCAGACATCGAAGACGGAGGACGATTGTCGGTCTTGGTTGACTTTTGTGAACCGCTTTTCATTTGCCAAAGCCAAGACATGCATGATCCACACCTGTGGTTGGTGGATTCAGGTGCAAGCAAAACTGTGATTTCGATCGAATCGCTGTCGGCCTATCGCGTACTTCGTGAACGGACCCTCACTTCACCAATCCAGTTCAGAACGGCTTCAGGAAAACCTGAGTGAAGACTTGAAGGGATGAGTAGAACTGAATTCAATAGATGTGACTTCACTTGACTTCATTGATGGACTGTGCCATTTGTTGCATCAGGGTTCGATGTTTTCGATATGGATTGTCACGATAGCCTTAGATAATGAAATAACTGCTTAAGCACCAGAACTTTCTAAATTCCAGAACTGGATACAATTCGATTCTTTTTCCGATAGCTGCCATGGAACCAAAGAAGATTGTGGTAACAGTGGATGCCCCGGAAGGCTTGGATGTCCACGTGAAAGTTCAGGCCAAGGAGAAGTCCGTTGGCTATGGTCAAGAGTTGAGTTCCGTTGCATCGTCGAGCATGGCTGCATCTCCCATTGGTGATGGGAAAGGCAATTCATTGAATGAAGTGAATGCCAAGAAGGTGATCGAAGGCACGGCAGGGTCTGTGACCACAGCAAGTGAGAAGAAGGGAACTACAGAGGGCATGAACAGTTTTAGCCCAGGCCTTGATGATGAAGAGTGGGAGCAAATCAAGGCAGAGCCGACTTCGAGTGAGGTCGAGCCGTGGCTACCGAAGATTCGCGTCAGCCTCCTTCTCATTCTCCAGCGAGCCCGCATCCTCCTTCGTTCTCTCCGCCAGGACGGAATCAGGCTGAAGTTTTCCCTGAGGTCCAGTACAAGATCACGATCAAGTCGGTAGAACGGGTCCATCGGGAGGATTGGACCATCCTCAAGCATCACACGAGGTATAGCCTTGTGCGCGGGATTCGGATGTGCAGGACATGTCTTCCGGCCGGGTTGGTGACCATAAGGTCGGATTCCGTTTTGAGCATCCGTCGCATCTCCATCACATTGGAGAGGATGGCCAGGTTCGCTGCATCCAGCGCTGTGATCGGATATTGAAGCCATGTCGCCATTGCTTCAATGTTTTCTGAGATAGCTCAGTACAGCCGATGACCATAAATACTGGTGATAACCTCAAGGGTTTGTGCATAAGCCATAAGTTCGTTTCTTGAGCTTGGAAGTTTTTGCACTATAGCTGTTCATAAGAGTTTGAAAGAAGCTTGAAGCAGAAGCGCATGAGTGCTTCCGATCGCTCCAGCTTGGCATCTATGAGCCGAGGAAGCTTGAACTAAGCCAGGGTATAGTACTACTCCAAGTTCGTTCAGGATGCCTTTCAAATTGGCCAACACCCAAAAGTTTGTTTGCGGGGGGGGGTGAAGGTTTGACACCATGGTCCTCCCTCTTTAGTGCAACCATCCTGGGGCTTCACTCGGACTTGAGCATGTTCGCATGGCCGCGGATCGACGGACATCCGCTTTTGGCCGATCGTGCACTTCGTTCGCCAATCGAGAAGTGTACCAAAGACCACAACTCGCCACAACAACGTGGCTCAAGGTTCACGCGAAAAGAGCGCGTGGCCGCGGGGTGGAGGGCGATTCGAACATTTGCGTTCGAGCAATCGCGTTCATCGAGTCAGGTCGTTTTTCACGAACAGTTCACGAGAGTTTTAACTTTCATAGGTGGTGGTGGTGGTGAAAGCTTTGGTCCGGTTCTTCTGGGTTGTTGAGATCAAAATGTCCGAGTGTTTGACAATAAAAACTGCTTTGAGATAGAAACACAGTGATCCCCCCAACCTGAAGCTTCGAGCCGAATTGTTTAAAACGTGTTTTCCCCGGCGCCCAAAGCAGCCCAAAGCAGCAAATCCTGCGACCCTGAAGCTTCGGCGAGTGTTTGTGGTCGTTGGAGTGGCCGACAAAAACGAGTGGTCGACTGAGTGGTTCAGGGTTTTTTTGGATTTAACTAAATCCTTTAAGAGGGAACCCTCCCATCTCGCCCTGAAGGTCGTAGAACTACGCAAGCGTTAGGTCGGTCCTTCCGCCTCGTTGAACACAGCGAAGTGACCATCTCATGCTCACCCCAGTGACTTCCGTCACCCTCCACGATGAAGGAAAATCCTCCCCGCCATGTCTTCCGCGATCTGCCAAAATCGGAGGTTTTTTGGAACCAACGGGTGGTTCGCATTGATGCGTTCTCAACGAATCGCAAGGGTTAATGATGGTTGAGGGATGTTAAGTGATAGAATCGGATCATACGATCCCGATCCCAACGGTCCCGAACCAAGCCGATCGGAATGGGTGAGAACCCCGTCCGACCCCTCATACCCCAGGAAGACCAGGGCCGGACGGGTAACGTCTGGGCTGCATGCTTTTGCCGGGACGACCGAGGCTCCGAGTCGATCGGGTTGGAAAGCGACGAGAGCGACGAGAGCTCGGTGGGATTGGAGAGCGACGAGAGCGACGAGAGCTCGGCCCCCCCTGCCGGGGAGGGTGCGAGTGCTGGGGAGGCCTGCGCAGTGCAAGTGCAAGCGCGTGAGCATGTTCTTTGTTTTTTGTTTGCACCGTTTTTTTTTGTGTTTTAACGCCAGGTGGCTAGAGATGGAACCCTAGTTTTGGTTTGTTTGACAGGATCAAGTGCATAGTTGTTTTTGTTGAATGCTGGTGTGTGTTTTTCATGTTTCTGGCACCCGCAAAAGTCCAGGCAGATTAAACTCAAAGGCGTAAATAGACAAATGTTCCTTCTCATTTTGGGACCACTGTGTATAAACATACCACTTACAACCTGACAGCAGAGCTCGGTGAAGTTTAAGAATGCAAGATGTATATGAAATTGTTCCCTTGGCTATAGTTCTGTTTTGTTGATCAGCATGTATGGGCCGAAGTGGAGTTTCCGATTTCCCGACGTATTTGGATGTTCCTAGGAACTCAACCAAGGAGCAACTATAGAAGGAACCCGCTTCTTACTTACCCACCACTTTTTCGCTACACTTCATCTACCGAAGCCCATGTCGCACCTTCAACAGCCTAAACCTGTGTCACCTTCGCTCTCCGTCCGTCCAACGATGCAGGGCGAAGTGGAGGGCAACTGCCAGAGCCCAAGCGACCGAACGCTCATGAAGCGTCCCAACCTTTCGCAAGACTTGGTGTCTCGGACGCGGTGCCGTGGACCGGTGTTGTGGACCGGTGTGGGACTCACAGGTAGAGGTTTGGACCCATGTGGCGGTGTGGAGTGGATCGGTGTGGCGGAGAAGTGGTCAGCATCTGTCAAAGACCAGTCTTTCGAACGGACACCATCGAAAGGGCGTTGTTTCTGGTGGCCGAAGTTGATTTCGCATGATCCGTCGATCCCTTGGTACTTGAGTGCGTTTGGCCCAGGAACCTTCCGCAGCATGGATCCCATGCGTCGATCCTCTTTCCCTGGTGGCTCCGAACGGGGCCCGACCACCCCAAACGCGATCCGGAGCAAGGCCCTATTTGTGTTGTGGAAGGGGGCCCGGAAAGCCAAGGGTTGAAGCCTTCCTCGCAGATGTCCTTTGAACAAGGGTGGGGTCGATTTGGTGGTACCAGTTGTTCACTTGGGGGTGCCCCCTGTGTCCCCTCTATCAACCAACTCAATGGTAAAAGGCCATCTATGCGTCTAAGTGTCGTCCATTGTCAGAAAAGATTCAGGACCACCCAGCACAGAGACCATTTGATCATTCATTTAATTCATCTATACCGGCACCCTCCAAAAGGTCCACCGCCCCTGCCACTTTGAAGTCTCCAAAAGCCACCCTTAAGGAGACCTGTGAGGAGACCTCTAGAGTTGGGTGCTGGTAGATACAAATTGGTAGAACCATCGAGAGCACTGAACATCATTGAACACTGACTGAGTTCCTGTTTGCCTGATTGGATGGGCAAGCCTCCCACGCGTGGAGCAGCAGACTAGAAGTCCCGACTAAGGAGGATGCATCCAGAGCAAGCTTGGGAGCGGCCTTTGGCTTTCCGCCAGTCTATTTGAAGAGAGACAAAGTCTTGAAGCAGCTTGGCCATATGATTTTCAACGTCTTTTCCTCACAGGATCCGAACGGACCTTCTCCCGAAGCACAGAGGGTTTGTGATCCTCTGTGAAACCAGGGGGTCATAGCCCTCAGAAGCCTTAGCTTTTGTGGGTGAAGAACACTGGATCCTTAGGGTTTTTCACCCGTACGCACGTACGCAGAACACGGGCTTTCCCCGGCGTCCGTCCGTTCCGTCCGACCGCGCTTTCACCGTGTCACCGAGATCCGGATCTCGCACCGCCTGCGGGCGCGGACCGCGCATCGGCATCGCGGCGGTGAGGTAGGACTATACGGTAGGGTTAGATATACCAGGACCCGACTCTACAGGTCACCACCTATCAACAGTCTATATAATATATAATATATATTATACCCTGGGAGTCAGAGACTATAAAAAGAATAGTCTTTGGGTGACCTGATTTCAGGAGCTTCCTCTACTGAAGAGTGGGTCAAAATATAGTCGAACTGGACCTTTAGGGTATATATAGTTATATACTTACAGTATATATGGGTGATGGGGTGATGTTGGACCCGAGATACTTTGGGGTCGGGCTAGATGTCTCACATGTTCTCACCCAAATCGGGATTGGTTCTTAGGAGGCGGACCAGGAAAGGACAGGAAAGGGCTAAGAGCTCGAGGTGTGACTGAATACTTGACATCATCCTATGCCGCTGCGATGAAAGATTGACCAGATTTCGAGGTTTGTTCTCCCGGCAGGTGTCGCGTATCAAAAGAGTCAAAAGGAACTCAACCGCATCAAAAACGGGTGGCACTGGGGTGGGTGCCAGGAGGGTCCAGTGACTGAACCTGAGGAGCATTGTGACCCCTCTCCGGACGACCTGAGGAAATTCGTCGAGCTGGGCATGTCTGAGATGTGCACCTGGGCGGCCCTGTGGTGACTCACCGGCGACACAACCTGAGCCATGCTGAAAACCTCCCCCCGCGTAAGCTAAAACTGTGGTCGCGTAAGCTCTGCGTAAGCTTTGGCGTAAGCCAGACATTTCCAGGTTATGTCATATCGATGCTGCGTAAGCAAAGCCTGCAATGGCGTAAGGTGGCGTAAGCAGCGGCGTAAGCAACACCCCGGCGTAAGCTGAAACTGCGGTCGCGTAAGCGCGGCGTAAGTTTTCGCGTAAGGCAGTTCTTACGACATAGGAATCTATCAAGGTTTTCAGCATGGCTCACCTATAGCTATAGTAGAATAGCTATAGAAGCTACTGGGTGAGGGCATCGCTTTTCTTTGTAACAAGAAGCTACTGTAACGTAGCTAACCACTTGGCCCCAAAAGCCGCACAGCCGCGTGACCCGATTCAGTCGTGGCCCACCCCGGTCGCGTTCGGGATTTGCCATGGAGGTCCGAAGGGATCGGATCCCGCCCCCGGGGGTGTGGTCCATCGGGGAGTTTGGTTTTCAAAAAGGACAAGGAGAGAAGAAGACGGCAAGCGCAAGATCGAAGGTCGACCATGTTAGGGTTTGGGGTCCCAGGGATTTTGTTCTTTTCCATCTAACGCGACGCTTTGGGAAGGAGTGTTTCTTGCTACGAGTTGACCCCTTCGTTCCATGAATGGCCCATGGCGCGCATGGCGTCGGACCCGTTTTTGGGGTTTGGGTGATGTCCTATTTTCGCTGAGTACGTCGGGTACGTCGAGTCAGTCGGGTCCAGATATATATATATATATAACACTTCCATCTATAGTGGGTCCGGACTTCTAAAGCTCCGGTCAAACAACCTCCCCCTATAGGTCGCGACCCGCGACCAGCCTTCCCTTCGACCATGAAAAAGGGTGGTTGACCTGTTTTATGGTTTTATAGTGCAAAATCCAGGAGAGAGACATGGGGTGAAACCACCACCCCTAATCCACTAGCAAAGCACCCTGGTCGATGCATCTGGCACGCTAGGGGAAGCAGTCCTTGAAGCAGTCCATGAACAACCAAAGAGCATCTCTGCAGGCAAGCTTTGCATTCGATGTGTCACCAAGCACTGTTGTATCACTTGACATGCAAGTCATAGGAATCTTAATGAATGTAGCCATCACATGATCCAGTCATTGACGTTTCACTTCACCGGACATGTTTGGCTCAAGATTGTGGGAAAAAGGGGCGGCTGCTGTGTTCTTTTGGTTATCAGCCGTATCGCTTTGCGATCGGTTGTTGGCCGTCGTTGCAGCCATCGCATCTTCCTCTGGTTCACGTCGTCCGACTGAACCCGCTGGTCCGCCCCCGCCTGAAGGGGGTTATTCCGATCCGGAGCATCCCGAGTACGAGGAGCTCCACAAGCTTCTGAGGTTCCCTCGCTCTGGAAAGAGCGGCCGAGCACAGAAGAGGGCGTTCATTCGCCAGGGCGTGGCTGAGGGGCATTTTGCGTTGACACATCCGCATTTGCTGAACGGTGTTACGTCTTTTAACTTTTGCGCACAGAGTCGGGTGACGCTTGTTGAGGAGGTTCTTCAAACGTACAGAGCTCGATTCGAGGAGGCGCATAGGTTAGCTGCTTCGGCACTGCCACCTAGGCCTGAGCCCGCTGTTCCGGTACCGCCTGCTGTGATTGGCCTTACGCCAAAGGCATTTGCAAAGGCACCGCCGCGGAGGCCAGAGCCAGTTCAAGTCTCGATTGTTCTGCCGGACACGGTACATTTCCTTACCTTTGAGGCAGCGGAGGGTCGCTATACTCGTTGGGAGTCACAGGAAGTGCATTTGGGAGCAGTTGCAGACATTGGCCAGGTTAAGGTCCTTTTTGTTGATCACCATCAGGTTCTTGACAGGGATCATAGCGATACTTGCAGACAGACAGGTCGCATTGGAGTTGAGAACATTGAGGCGATTGAGAAGTTCAGACAGTTTGCATTGGATCACGAGCGTATTCCATTTGTTTTCGTTCTTTCTTTCATTGGGAGTTCGGGGCGCTATCAAGCGTGCAAGGACATTTGGAGCAACAGCGAAGGGATTCATCACTTGTTTGACGGGATCATTTGTACGTTCGAGCCGGACGGTCCGACAGGGAAGGCTGCAGTTATCTCGAGATTTGCCGAACGGTTGGGGGATCACTTGTCTTGTTGTTTGATCGACGACAGTGCTGATATCCTATCTGAGTTGGAAGCCACTTTGGCCACCGACAGGGCAACAGGGATTCACATTAAGCTTTCACGGAAGAGGAGCTTGAACAGCGGATCTGCGTATCCATACGCCAATTGGTTGAGCGACGGCTGGACGAAGGAGGCAGTTGAGAATTTCATTGCAGCCGAGTAGACGTCGTTTGATCTTTGAAAAGAAGCGATGGAGGGATCAGGAGGAAGTGCGCATGGTTCACCGGAGAGTGAACAGATTGTCATGTTTGGGGAAGCCATTGCAACTCCTATCCAAGATACGAGTTTGTCATCCCTGACAGAAACATCTCACTCATCGATGGTTCAAAGTAATCAAGGAAACCCAACAGCAAGGACGGGTGTTGAATACCAACAACCGACCATCGGTCATATTGATGCAAGACAGATTGTGTTCGAAAGCAACCAGTCGTCTCATTTCACAGATGCCAGATCAGTCAATCTTTTGGATTTGAACCCTCTGGTAGTAGCTCAGGCTCACCAGGTCGTGTCCGAAGTGCAGGGTCCAGCCATTCAATACGCCTCTGAAGTTGAAGCTAATGCGAGGAACCAGACTGCTCAGTATGTCCAAGCAATGGAGAGTCAGTTTAGGAACCAAGCCCTTCAGCAGATCCAGGGTATTGAATCTAATGCTCAAGCCCAAATCCAGAGTCAAGTTCAATCCATTGAAAACCAAGCCAGGTCTCAAATCCAGGCGGTAGAATCCACTGCCAGGAGCATGGTTCAGCAGTCTCAAGAAGAAGCCCATGAACTGGTCCGTCAAACCCAAGGTCAAGCTACCCGTTTGATGAATCAGTCTCATCAAGAGGTTGCTAATTACCAAAACCAGATTGAGCAATTGAAGGCTTTAGTGATTGATCGCACGAACCAGGTGGTTGAAGTGACCGGTGCATTGAACCAAAGGGAGAAAGCACTAGAGTCCACCACTAGGCAGATGAATGAAATGAGGGGTCAAATGGAAGCAATGATGAGGAGGATCAAAGATCAAGATGAAAGGCTGCAGTCCCTTGCAAAGAGTGGTACTCCAGGGGCACCAAGCACCATCCATCCTTGTAGTCCGCCGCCAAAGGCAACCTCATTCGTTGATAGGAAACCTGAAAGTGTTGGTCAGCCAAGTCCATCTAGGAAAGTTCATGGAATGGGTGAGTTGGTTCCGGTGGTGCATAGCATTGCAACTCCCAAATCCTACCATCCTGGCACGGTCGCATTCCAGGGTCAACCAATGCAAGATTCGCGGGTCGTGTTGCCTTCGTTTGCATTGACGCCCATTGCCACAGGAACCAATGGTGAAGAGCTGCATTTGGCACCTTCACCAACTCAGTCCGCTTGTGCAGGAGAGATACCAAAGGCAAATCCAATGTTGCCTCCTGCTGCCTTGCTAAATGATCAGATCGGACTTCAAATCCAAAGTGACCAAAACACTGCTTTGCAAATGCAAGTGCATCAATTGACCATTCAAATGCAGCAATTCATTGGTGGGTTGACGGCAAACCCTGTGCAATCGGGCAATCAGCCATCATCGAACCGATCAAGAGACCGCCGCAAAGTCCCCGGATCGCCGCCAGGAAGTGGTTCTTCATCCTCTTCAAGTGACTCGAAAGGAAAGGGTTCAAACAGAAATCCTGGAGGGGGCGGAGACTCACCACCAAAATCCCCAAGTGGAGATGGCTCATCAAGCGATTCGGAGGACCCCTACAAACGAGAGAAACGACTAATGCGTATCAAACAGTATGACTATCTAAAGATTCCTGCTTTGCCTCAAGACGCAGCAAAATGCCGGAGTTTCCGAAACGCAGTGTTCAGTGGGGTTTGCAAGTTTGCCAAGAATGATGAAAGCATTGTGTTCCGTTGGATCAATCGTTGCAACATCTCGGAAGATGGAAAAGAGTTCAACAATGCAAAGGACTTCCCCATCTTGGATCGGATCCTAGGCGCCAAATTGCTAGAAGCAGCAAAAGGCACAAAATTCGCCTTGGAATTTCAGACCCACCAAGAGAGATGTCAGACACATGATCAACAACCAAAAGGTCGCAAGTTGTTGTGGTTGATCTTCCAAAAGTTTCGACTCGATCGCGACCGCGGAACGGCACTTAGTCAGCACCACCTTTTGTCCTTGAAGATGAATGGTAGTGACATCAAGGCACTTGAAGACTTTCGACAGCGATATGACTTTTGCGTAGGCGCTCTTGAACCTAGTGAGATGCCAGCTGAAACGTCGCTGAGGTCGTTGTTGTTTGAAAGCCTCAAGAATCACCCCAAAATGGCACTCGCAATTGACAAGTTTCGGGAAGCAAACACTGGTAGCTACAAGCGAACCAGCCGTTGGTTGTATAGCAAGATGTGTGAAGCCATTGAGATATCCCAAATGGATTTGAACACAACATCAATGGACAAAGCTCTCACCTCAGCAGGCTTAGATCCAAAGGTTGGAGGGGCACAAGCAGAGGCAAAAGACAAGAAGAAGAAAGATGAGAAGACAAAGAAAGAGAAAGAAAAGAAGCCAGAGCAAGACACAAAGGTCAAGAAAGAGGACAAGCCCAAAACATCAAAGAAGGTTGAGGAAGACAAGAATGTTGATGCAGCGTTTGCCCAAAAAGGAAAAGGGAAAGCGAAAGATGGCAAAGGCAAGAACAAGGAGGACAAGCCACCGCTCACCAAGGAGCAGAAAGCAAAACTGCCATGCATGTACTTCGCATACGATTCATGCACTCGCGGGAAGGATTGTGAATTCCTCCATGACAAAGGGAACTTGTACAAAGGCCCGAAACCTCGTTTAAAGTCAGGTACTGGTGCTAGTTCTTCAAGTCATGCCGGAGCCGCTTCAGTAGCTGCTGCAACTGCATTCGCGTCGATCCCGTCAGCCGAAGCCGCTTTGAAAGAAGCAAAGAAGGTTTGCAGAAAGGTCACTCGGAGTTCTTTGAGAGTCCCTTGTGTCCAGTTGTTGGCCAAAGCCGTGACTACGATCATGACCGCCATCACATGCTGCAATCCGATGTCCCAGATTGATCATTCAAGTGTCCCTGCATTGGCGTCA